GTGTCCACGGAGCGTATTTCAACATTGAAAAAGGGGATGGGGGATTTAACTATCGACAAAATTTTTTTTTTCAATTACGGAAGGACGACGATAGAAAGCGCTTGGTTTGCTCAAACGTGTCAACACTTCTGTCCATGATTGTAGGTAAGATTTTTGACGTTTGTTCAGTTGTTTCTCCCTGTAATTGATATAGACGGTCACTAGGTGTGCGCGGTTCATAATGTTTTGTCATATATGTTTTTCCCCTGTTTTGGGGGAGAGAGGAAATGGCCGCGTCCTGAGCATGCGCATGCAAGTTAGCCTGAAATCTGCCGGGCTCATCTCTCATGAAGGGAGGGGAGGGAGAAATCAGGGACTGGACGACGTGGCCGAGTAAGTACATGAAAAACTAACTTGTTTTCCTTTTTTTAAACATAACAGTGCAGCCATGTTATTGCAAACACGTTGGTCTCACCCAGATCTTTAAAAAGTTATAAAACTTAATTTATCAAGTGGAAAAAAATAGTTCTCGGCTTAATTTACATCCAGATTTCTTCCCACTGTTGGGATGGATTGGATTCTCTACGGTTGCCAGCTTGACGAGTGTCGGGACGAAGAAAGTTCGTTCGAATAAGAAACGATGTTGTGTGACGGCCAATTAATAGATGCGAAGGAAGCTGTCTAGAGGGTGAGTGATTTTAGACTTGTATTCACGCAAACTCACTTCATAGAGCCTTCTAAGTAAACTTTTGAATTTGTTACCCATCCCGGCTCTTTGACCTCTTTTTTCTTTTTTGTTTTACTAGCACTTGTCTTTTAAAGGTTCATGCCCTTTATGTTGGTAGAATCATGCGATTGAAACTGTAACAATAATTTGAGCATTGTCAGGTCGATAGGCCCCAGGTTTCCTCTGGCGGGAAAGCTCTTATCGTGGTTTTGTTCAGGAAGCATAGCACTCAGTTTCCGTTGGTTGGCCGCTGTCCTTCGCAGGCTCAGCCTGACACTCTTCCTGTGAACGAGAGGGCTGTATGGTAGACAGATCCGGACCCGCAGCTGCCATTCTTTCACGTAATAATGATGAGTGCTAAAATATAACAAAACAGGTGAGGAAAATGAAGAAATCAGAACACCATATTCTAACACGAAAATAATTGTTTCGCAATGGTTTAGTGGAACAAAGATCTAAAAGGCTTTTTGCTGTTTGTTTTTATATCTGAAAGCCTGAAGGACTCTGAAATAGGCTTTTATTTCGATGTTTTCACAACTAGTTTATCGTGGTCTTTTCTGCCATTTGTAATCAAGAATCTCGCTTTTATCTATTTATTTATTTATTCATTTATTTATTTATTTTTCAACGTGTCTCTCTGTCCTGCTGAGTACCTGAATGCCCAGAGAAATTCAACTTCAAACATGAAAAATTTACTGTTGTGGATCACGTTTATTCAAACGAAACAGCAACCTTGATCCCAGGCTCTCTCTCCTGCGCCTCCTTTGTCGTTGAGGAGAGCTCCTCTTCTCAGCGACAAGGTAGGCAAAGAAGAGAGAGCCTGGAGATCAAACAGAGAACCGAATCGAAAATCGAATCGTCGAGGCTGGCGAAACAAATTTGGCCATTTTACGTCATCAGAGACCTTTCGATTGTAGCACTCAATCACGTCCTTGTAGAATCTAATTTCGCAGAGGACGGCCAGGAAATGTACCAAGATGGAAAACGAACGTGCAAAGTTATTGAACTTGCTCGGTTGTTCTAAAGGTGGATAACACAATCCACCGACACGGATAAATCGCTATCCAGCAGATAGCCTGGTTTGCTTTGTTAACAATCATCCGCTAGATAGCGTTATCCAGCCTTTCAACAACTGGAGCCAGGGGCACGTTTTTCGAAGGTCCTGAAAAGTTTTCGCACCCGAAAAGCCGTAGCAAAACCTCAAACCTTATGATTACAGAGCTGTTCTTTTCACATATTCTTAGTATAAGCAGGGGTTCCATTCCGTACAAGGAGTTTCAGGCGTATACACCATTCTGTCTTTAAAAAATACCGATCAACTTAAAATGGCTTTTCGGGACCGAAACGTTTCCGGGGCTTTCGAGAAACGGGCCCCTGGTCATCTTTTGTTTGGCGACCTTTCTCGTTGCCTTTTTAGTTTTGTTATTTACCGGTTGACGGGTCTGTATGTCCCTCCACATGACGAGTTCCCTAGTAATATCAATTCCCTGGTTTGCAAGTTCTGCAAGTGGCAGTAACACATCACCGATGACCTTCTGTCTCGAGTACGCGTCATACCCCATGACGCAAAACTGCAATGTCCGCACTGTTAGTTCTTCATAGTCCATCTCAATCTCAAATGACCTGTGTCGACGGCGCCGGCGGCGAGACATCAAGCGTAATCGCTGTTTTGCCTTCTCCTGAGGAAAATAAATGATCAAATTCTTTTTTAAAAACGTTATTGGAGTTTTTTTTTAAAAAAGTTTTATACTGTACTGTAAATAGTTTGGACTGTTTTATTTTCGGACACTTTTTTATCCGCATTTAAAAATCGTCAAAAAAGGACCCTCAGAAGCACAAAAAAAAACCAGCAAACAATATGAAGGCAAACAAAAAAATTGTTTAGTCCAAGAAAGACCACTTTTAGTTGGATCACGAATGGCAAACCGTGAAAATTTGTTCCCTTCAAAATCTGCACTTTTTGTGACGAAGCTCTTTGAACTTCTACAACCATCTGCAAATACCAAGCACTGATGTAATTGAGGCCCTATTAGAGATTTTCGGGCATACGGGATATTTAGGTAAAAAAATTAACGGAGTACAGGATCTTTGGGGGAAAAATAATAATACGGGATATCGAGTAGAAAAATCGTTAGTTTTTGCAATAAGCCCTTTGCACGAGCCGGTCACATGGTACGGAATTAATTATGCTGGGACGCAAGTTACACAGTGGGACTTTCAAAACAAAGGAAAGTCGGGCTGGACTGGTACGAGTTCCTTTGTTTTGGAAGTCCCACTGTGTAAATTGCGCCCCAGCATAATTAATTCCGTACCATGTGACCGGATCATGCAAAGGGCCTATTGAATTAACGGGATGTGGAATTCTCAGATCTCTCTAATGGGATATCCACAATTCACCCCTCTCTAACCTGCTGAGTAAGTTGAACGTTGGCAAACAGGAACACCGAGGAATCATCTTCGACGAACTCCGCTTCCAGACTGCCCTCATAAAGGTTCTCTGTCTCCAGCAGTTGAATTTCCAGGAAGCCGCTGTTAATAATATATACTGGATCATTAGATAATGCAAATCAATAGTTTTCATTGGCTTATCCATCATGCATGAGCCATTATACCATGTTCTACAAATGTGGTAAGTGTGCGGGTAATTTGGGCGTTTTTATTTTTATTTTAGTTTAGTTTTCCATATTTTGCGTACGTTTTTTAATAAAACACTTATTCCACTCGCGCTTGTTGGATATTAGATGATTATCGCGAACTCGGCGCTGTATGCGCCTCATTGGCTATCTACCATCTCATATCCAACACACACTCGTTGAATATAGAGTAACCAAAGGAAATCACTTCAGTTAAGTGGAAAAAGAGAGGTTAGCCAATCAGATCGCAAACTTTGAAGCACACGCGGAAAGCGCGGGAAAACACGGCGGGAAAGCGCGGGAAGCCGTGACATTCGGCAGGCGCGGGAAAGTCATGCGAATCAAATCACGATCGATAACAATAAAGAAAGAACGCAACAACTTACCTAGCTTTGTGATACTGAACTGAAAACTTGAGCTTTGGGATTTGATCTTGATCCTACAAAAAAAGTGGGATTGTCGTACACTCTACCGCGTTACTGAACACTGATGAAGAAATCATAACGTCATTTGATTCATTCCTTAGTACTATGTTGCTGCCACAATATTTTCTCGATTGCACCTGACTGGTATACTAATTACGCACCACTTTGCCACCTCGTGGTTTTGGTGTAGAAAAGGTGATTGGCATCGCGAGGTGTGGCGAGGGCTGTATCTCAATGTCGATAAGTTCTCCTACTCTGCCGGGAACCCAAAATGGAGTGCTCTCAATCACAGGAATACCACTCTGCCTTAGCTCAGCTGAAGTCGGTTCTCGGCGACGCTTTTTCCGAAATCGTCCCAGGAGTCTCCTCCAGATGAGGACACTAGATGCTAAGCCACTGAATAGTAAGAACAGCACTATAAAAGGGATGACATAAGCGACCGCCGTAGTCATCATCCGGACAGGAGACTGGTAGCTACGGTGCTGCCTTGGCCTTAGAAATGTGAGAATCTAGTGGCAACAAAATAACAGGGAATTTTAAATAACCCTACGTTCGAATACAAGGATTGGCGCGAAATGTGGTGACCGAAAGAATTAGCACTGTGTTTGAAAAGTCGCAGTAGTACTCCATCTCGCAATTGTAATCGGATCAAAACTTTCTTCCACATTACTCCGGTGAAAATTGAAAACGGAAGTTTCACTCTGAAAACGCATCAAATGTTTTCCGTCCACACTTGGCTGGAGAAATTTGAAAACGCAATAATAACCGTTCATTTTGGATTTGTGTTTGAGAAAACCTCGGGCAGTGAAATCGCATGATTATCGTGATGTCACCTTTTTCGAAAAGCTCCGTTTTCAATTTTTTCCGTTCACACTAAGGCGCGTGGCAAGCGTTTTCAACTGAATTCCTCCGGTTTGAAGAGCGTTTTCGGAAAAGCTCCGTTTCCGTGACGGAATAGTGTGGACGGTAGTCTTAACCGCGCGTAGAAATTAAGCTACGTTTTCACATTTCTTCGGCGTAGTGTGAACGGAGCCTTAGTGTGGACGGGACCTAAATGGCACGAACGACGAAACCTCGTTCCCAGCGTCCTTTCTCTTCCTCTCTCGAGAGGACCTTGGGAACGAGATTGCGAATGGCAATGGTCAAGTGAAACGAAGTCCGTTTGTCATGAAATAAGAAGCATGTAACAAGGGTAAAGGAGGGGGGTTTCGCGAGGAAAAATGTGAACACCAATAGAGGAAATTCATATTAAAAGGCAATATGCAAAGAAACCTTACATCAGCAACTTTAGACCACGCACGGACGTCAAATTATTGGCCAAGTCCAGTTTTAATCATATCACGAGTAACCTTTTGTCAATCACAAGCTTTGCGCATTCAAGCACAATTGCAACGCATGTAAATAAAGCCACAAAGCGTTAAAAGTTGAAAAAGATTATTTTCTACATAAGCAGCTACAGTGGACTTTTTAAAAACATTTTTGGGCAGAATTAATCTCATGCATCCCTGGCAACATCAGTTCTGAATTTAAGAATTATCGAGAAATAATTGTGTGTAGTTTCTTATTTCTTCAGGTTGTAGGGAGAGGAGAAGCGTCCCCTAGTTCAGTAACGAAAACTGTACGTGGTTTTAAGCAAAAAAATAAGCGCAAATTTAAAATATCATTTATCGCGACAAGCAATTCGATGGCGTACAATGCAACCACTTGCGGCAAATGCTTTCACAAAGGCCAAATAATACAGAAAACAATTGTTATACAAAACACTTCTCACTAACCTGTGATTTCCAATAAAAGAATTTCACGGCCGACACCAGAAAAATTCCATCATCGAAAGGTGAAATTCTACAGAGAGTTATTTGTCCAACAACGTGGTCATCTACACAGGAATGAAGTTTTTACAAGTTTGCACGTGTACATCTGACGTGCGCGCAAATCTCATTGGTTAAATTATGCGTGAGTGTTTTGCGCCAATTGCAGTTTTACACAATGATCCTAATTCGACCTAATTCAGTCCCTTATAATTAGACACCAGGTTTTTCGTTGGATCGCATCATTTTATTTAACAAAAATAACAGAACTTCGATAATTGTTCACAACTCAAGCGCGTTTTACGCGCGAAATATTTTGAGTCCACACGTACCGGGATATTTCTTAAAACGGAGATTTTTTTCTCCGTTTTCAAAAAAAAAGAAAAATACGCGTCCACCGTTGGAATGTTTTCGCCCGTCCACACGAAAAGGCTACAACGATGGAAATACGATAGCGACTTTATATTTATAAAGCTTGCGCGTTGCTAGCAATTTGGTCAACAAAGTTATCCCACGTGTACATGTTTGTCCTGGCGTGACCCAGAACTTATCTACGTGGTGTAGCAGGCCTTCTGGTCAATCGTTTTATAGCCCTTGTTCTTCACTCTGGAGAGCATTTTTCTCAAAAATTTATGTTTACGGTGCTCGAAAACGCCGTTTACGTGTGGAGGGAAGGCTAAAACGGAGAAAGAAATCTCCGTCTTCAAAATATCCGGATACATGTGGATGCGGCTTAAATTTTTTCTCTAACAATTATACAATTTATGATTGTGTCCCTTTTCAATCTATTTTTGGTGTATTTGTGTGAAAATATCTACAACTTGATATTATGATGTATCGTAAGTTAAAAAGCGATTTTCCCGTGGCTTGCAGAAACAATCATGGTTTCATTTTTGGCTCTTATAAAGACTCTGCACTGTGCAGAACGAAATACCCACTGGTACTGCCTGAGACTTTAAATCCTTAATTCCTTTCATGCAAACTTTGCTAAAACAAAGGCTAACCAACAACTCTCAAATAGTGCTCTAATAACAAAAATAAATTTTTACTAATTAGCTATGGTTCGAAAAGACGCAATGTGCTCTGACGTGACAGAACAAAAGTCTTTTCCGGCCAATCGGGTGCACTCGACTTGCAGCCGCGGCCGATGACAGGAGTTTCCCGCGCTTTTTGCCTGTTATTCGTCACTTGAATTCTGATTGGCTTATTGCACAAAGGCAGGCCTGACGACAGGCTCATTTCTTTAATTTCACGTTCAAGATAGTCGCTGGAAAATCGCTTTCATATATACATATATAAGGTAAACCTGCACCTAGATATCTGACAGAAAAAAACCTGAAAACAAGCAGGATATTACAAATATACATGTATTTACATTGTGGTGTAGTCGTCCCTGAACTGAGTAGAACCAGAACGTTTCCGCAAAACCACAGTGATAATAGTCAAATTCTCTCAAACAGACTCTCTCACTTGCGTGCTACTGGGTCCATATATTTCTACTTTATTGATGTTGGAACACTCTCTGAGTTATTTTGTAGTCGTTTAAAGATTCAGCCACGCGCACAAATAAAAATGTTTCACGTGAAAGATAAACAGTCCTCAATAGACGCTGGCCGTTGATTTTCTCCGAGGCCTAGAAATATAGACACACAGAGATACCTCTCTTAAAATGTTAAATCCATGTGTACCCAATTCTGCCAAAAGAACGCTGACCTCGCCAACAGGCTTGTATCGAGACATGCAGTCATAGTCAAGGATTTGAAACAGCAGCTTCTGTTGTTGCAGTTCTTGATACTCGATGTCAAATTCGTAAGCCTCGTTAAACAGTGGATTCGAGCTTTCTCGGTGCACTTTTGAAATGTAAACTCGTTTGCGGCTTGGCACGAGTTGAGTTTTGACAAACACGTCCAGGAACTCCTCGTCATCTTTTGGCGGTAGGTCCTGGGCACTGATCAGCTTAACTAGCAGCACAGATCTAGGAGGATAACAAGTAGTAAAAATCGCTTTACATTGTCCATGGTCTTTAAGAACTCACACCACGTTACAGAAAGCTATGGCTAAAAGAAATTACATATTTTAGAACGGTTACTTGTAGACTACGAGTAGTCCCTCTTTCGCTCAGTCCGTCGAGAGTGACTATCAATAAACTTCGAGGAAAAAACGGCCGCGCGAAATCCTGGGGCGCGGAAATTTTTTGGGGGCTGTTTTCAGTCTTTTGCGTCACGCAAGACGGACCAAGCAAAAGAGAGACCACTCGTAGTCTGGGTTACTTGTAAACTATTACTTTCAAGGGTGATCCGACCTTAATTTCAAACCAGCCTCTCGTCAGTTTA